AGGATGCCACCTTTGGGAGAAGCACAAGACCAAAATAGCTCCCCTGGCAATCATAGCTATGGCAGAAGCAGTGTCTGAGTCGATCACCAGATCCAAGAACAAGGAGCTTTTCAATCAACACTTCGAAGGACTCACCATGACAGTCCCAGCCACAAAGGATCAATTCGAGTCTCCCCACTATCACTCGATTGTTGGGCAGAAACTCCTCCTAGTGGACTGGAATCGATGTGGCATCACTATACCTTGTCCGGATGGAAGATGCTCTGGCAAACTCGACAATGACAGAAGCCACTGGTCCAGGACAAGACTCTGTTTCCCATCTTTGGCATTGCTGGACCTCCATCTTGGTGCATGGTCATGTCCATGGTCTGCAGCTGCTGCAAGAGGAGATTTGATTCCAACCAAGCAGAGGTCCTGGTGTCCATCCCAGAGCATGCTTCCTTGCTCTATCCAGTGGAATCAAAGTATGCCTTTGCTAAGAAGGACTATCACCTAGACAGAACAGCAACTGAAGTGTTTGCGTCTATAATGGTTACATATGGTAATGGTGACCTCTGCAGCGCTCTCTCTACAAGCAAAAACAGAGAGTATCTAGAGCCATGATGTCATACTTTTCTATTGGCAAGGAAGTGAGAGGGATCTCCACCATTCCTTCCAAAGGATGGGACTTACATCAAGCAATACCCTCCTCTTGGTGACACATCCGTGACTTGTTCGATAAGGCTGCTGCGTCCAACAGGAACCCATGGAGGATCAGTGACAACACGAGGCACACTAGAGAGATTCAAAGTGTCAGTTGCAACAGGGTATCTTCTGCCAAGACCATACCTTCCAGCCAGTCAAGAACTACATGAGAGAGAGGTTGGAGCAGTCGCTGTTTGGGATGCTGCTACTGAGACTGGAGAGATTGCTTCTGCAGTTCTGGTTCCCACACCAAGACCATCCACTTCTCCCATGCAGCCACGCAACTAGCAAGGAGGAGCCACTTCAATCCGGTTGCCATGTACAGTGACACCTGGCCCAACAAGGATGACTACTGGGAGCAACTCTTTCCAGGTATCGAGGAAGACTGGGCCTGTTCCATTATGAGAAAAGAATCCTGTCGACTTTGAGGAAGGGCACATTGATCACTTCAAGCAATGACAGACCTTTTGGACTGCCTGTATGAGTACTTACCAGAAGACTTTGAGAAGGTTCTCTATGCTCTGAAACATGGTCTCCTATCAGCTGATGGCAAACACTATTCCATGGTGGAGATATCAGACATGCAAGCTCCAAGGTCTTCGTCAAAGATACTCCAAGTTCCTAAGGAAGAAGATGAGAGAACCAGAAACAATGAGACAGAGGATTCAACAGTGGTTCTGCAGGTACAAGGTCATGCTAGTGAGGGCAGCCAGCCAGGCCAAGGAAGGCTGGATCCAGTCAAGAACTTTACCTTGTTCACTCCAGACACCAAACCAGCAGTAGACAACTGCATTGAGAAAGCAATCCACTTGGCTGATCCACTACCAATGGAGCAAATGTATGATACAATCCAGCCATCTCCCAACTCCAAGCACAAGCTTCCAGAGTACCTGTCAAGGAGAGGAGAATCCAAGTTAGAAGCTTTCCACGACAAGTTTGCCCACTTTGGTAATGGGGATGAGAGCCTTGCTGATGCACTCAACCTTGCTGGAACTGCAAGATACAACCTCAAGATTCGCCACAAGAGAGCCTTCCTGTCAAGAATCAGCGAGGCAGAAAGGAAGTCAATTCCAGCTGGATGGGAGAAGGTGGTTCCATATTGGAACCATTCAGAGTTGGCTTACCTGAATGAAATGGCACAAGCTGTTGGTCTACACAAGCCATTTCCAAATGCAGAGCCATTGCCAAAGGACACTGGAGAGCGATTCTTTTCAGACTACATTGTTGGATTCAAACCTCACAGGCAGAAGTACTCACCAAATGATTGTTTGCTTGTGTAGATTGTGCACCAGTCCAGTTGAAGCTTCACAACCACAACCGGTTCCACAACCTCCACCACAACCAAGTTCCACAACCACAACCACAACCGGTTCCACAGCTCCAACCTCCACCACCCAATCCACCTCCACAAGCAGCTCCTCCTGTAGCACAAACAAGAAATTCTTACATTGGTAACCTGATTCTCTATCAGCAACAACACCAGATTCAACTGATGCAACTTGCCTTAATGCAGCAGCAATTCCAACCAATACTGCCAGCTCCTTTCCAGCCACGTCCTCCACCAAATGGCTGCTGTCAGCGCTACTGCCAGTGGTTGACCAACAGGAGAGGAAGACCACCACATGATGCCTATTGCCAAGCTCGATGGAGTGCATCACAGGCTGGGTAGCTACAAAGAGTAAATATTTAGATCCACCAATTTGATTTCTAGTTTAGACATCAACTTACATAAAATTTCCACAATGTACAGCATTGTGTGGTTGCAAGAATCCAAGGTTGTCGAGGTCTTCAATGCAATCATCTACAAAACTCTGACTCATGGAAACCAAAACCTGAAAGGAAAATTTGTTGTTGTAGTCATACCAGTGGCAACAATACATGCCAAGCATCCATCAATATCTGTCCTTCATTGGAGTCAAAGTCATAGCTGCTATCCATAATCATTTCCCTCACTAACCCATAGATGCACTCAATGAAGATGTCCTTCCTTTCACAGGGCTGTGCCTCCACATTTCATAAAGGGTAGAGAACAGTACTGTACCATTTGGGGCTCTTCTGAAGTCCCAATTCATACATGTAGTCCATGATGCCTGTCATATCAGGAGGAGAGGCTTGCATCCTCCTTGCAAGATCATCTTCTCAACAATGTGCCATGCAAATTCCATCGGCGAGCACAATGAAATTGGTTGTTGGCGAATCTCGCATCTGCATACTGTCCTTCAAAAATCACATACTTGCAGGTGATTCCATGCCGTGTTGCCCTCAGCTCATTCAATGGGTAGCTGTTTGCACTAAGTAGCCACTTCGAGAAGGAAGGACTTGTAGCGATCCTCATTGTCCGTAGAGGAAGGAGCGTCCGTAGAGCAAGTAGGAGTAGTAGTGGTTGTTGTTGTTGCCAAGAGTCTTGCCCCTACCCACGTAGTCGCTGACTTCAAGACAAAATAGATCGATCGGTATTGGTGGAGGAAGCGGCGTCGGTAGCGGCGTCGGTAGAGGAAGGATCGTCGTAGAGGAAGGATCGTCCGTAGAGGAAGGATCGTCCGTAGAGGAAGGAGTCACGGTGTCGGTAGAGGAAGGAGTGTCTGTAGAGGAAGGACCACGTTCGAACGATTAGTAGCATGCATTGTTGACATTGTCGATACAAAGAACAACAACATCATTGTCGACCATTAACTTGCTTACCTGACAACAACAACAACAAAAATGCACCAACGACGTTCGATTCTTTATCCGGTGGTAGAAGGAGCTACCTGTAGAAGGAGATACTGTAGAAGAAGACAAAATGTGACGGCAAAAGCAGCCATACAACAAAGAACAACAACATCATTGTCGACCATTATCTTGCTTACCTGACAACAACAACAACAAAAATGCACCAGCCCAATTTTCGAAAATGGGAAGGTCTTCTTCGAGCGAAGGATAGGGAAAAGAGCCAGTCAGTTATCCGTTGCACCAATTTGAATTTTGAGAGCAAGTGCGATACCAAGGCATCAACGTACCTCCATTTGACGTCTTTCATGACGTTATATGTGTTCTTCGGACGTCTCACCTCGTCTTACCTAGGGGGGATGACCGGTCATTGACCAATCCCCTCCTTTCTATAAGTATTTGATCCTGTCAGTTTGGTTCCGGTTGGATCTGCATGCTCGCGATTCGGAATCAGGAATCCAGCCGTTAACCCTCTCCCTTTCTTTTCTTCTTTTCCCTCCCCCGCGCTGCTGCCTAACCCCCCCATAATCTCGCTCGTGGTGGACGAGGTGGGCCAAGAACACAAAATAAGGAGTGAAGCTTCGTGACCATGCGCCTTGGTCGAGTCAGTCAGTCGTGGAGCGAATACGAAGATCGCGGAAAATAAGTACAATGCAACAACAGAACGGGTCTCCAAGATCCAAGATTACTCATAAGTTCGTCGACTAAAACCAACCCACTGGCTGGAACGATATGACAATGTCCTTGACTGTCAAGGTTTCTTGTGATGTGAACGCTCCCATGGAAGTGCTGTGGGAGACCCTTTGTGATGTGAAGAATCGGCCGACCTTTGTGAGCCGGGTTACCAAGGTGGAGTTCAAGAAACGCAGCAAGAACCATGGACTGGTGACAATCCACCCCGAGGAATTCGTCCATCAAGAGGGAAGTCTCTGGGTGGTAGAGTCTTTGTTCCAAGGGAAAACCTTTCGCAGTATCGACTCTATCACATCCTTGAGAAAACCCAATACTAGTGATAATGATAAGACTGCTTCGGTACAAATCAGTTCCCAGTTTCTCGACAAGAGATTCTCCACCCGAAACAGAGCCGTCCACATTGGAACTTTCACCATAGAGGCTTTGAACGAGAAACGATGTCGGCTTCATGGATCTCTGGGGTTCCTGCCGGGTGGATGTTGGGGTGCCTTGGATCTGTGGATGCGAAAACGCCAAATTCAAAAATTAGCTCCCCTCTGGATGCGAGAATATCTCACGGAGTTTGCTACCGAAGCGGAAAAGAGAAGTGGCAAACAGTAGCAAACAACAAAAAAAGCAAGTATCAAACTCAGTAATGCTCATGCAGTAGGAGTGAGCAAGAGAAGGACAAAAGTCCCCGTACCGTACAAGCAATCGAGATCTAAGTAGGGCAGGGTCAAGCCCAAAAAAAGATCCCATGTGGATGTCGACTTGTTAATTGGGCACAGGTGAAGTATTTGCTGAGGGTACTGAGGAGGGCAGTGCCAGCCTTACGACAACGTACACGACATACATTAGTTCTCCGAGGAATCCCACATCCCAACGCAATGTGATGATTGAACTCAAGGAGAGATGGCTATGGGGTGGATGACCGTATTTTGTGGGAGGAAAACACGGACGATCGCCAGCCATTGATGCATTACCGTAGCTTATTAAAAAACATTTGTAGCAGCAACTACCTGCCAAACGGATCGAATTCAATCTTCGAGGAGCCGTGTAAATCAGGTTGATCATGTGCACACATCCTCTTGTTCTCGTTCAGGTATCCTTTTCTCCGATGAGCTTCATCAAAGCACCGTACGGTACATCTGACCAGTTCATAGCTCCGATGAACCCAGACCAGCCTCCCGCTTCCATAAATGCCTCTCTACAAGCTAGTAGCTAGAGCCGCTTGTGGTAACTACCTTGGTCAGCTACCGTAGCTAGAATGCTAGAGTAGCCACAATTGCCAAGCTCGCAGGCAGAGTATAATAGTACTGTCGTTTGTCCAGTTCTTTGGGTTCCTTGGTAAATGCAAGACAGCTCACACAATGTACCAACGTAGGAATCCATGCATATCCCAAAGCCTGCTGGGGAGTGACTCCTGGTGATGCCAGCGCCACCACAAAGATATTGAAACTCAGTGTCGCGTAGGCAAAACATTGGGCCAAGAAAATGATATCGGGTCGTCCTTCTTCTCCCAACAAAAAGGCTGTAGGATTGACAATGGTGAAAATCCCCAACGTGACACCCTGGAGTATGCCAACTATTTGGACCAGACGATGACTCCAACTAGCCTGATAGTAACAGCCCACCGCCACGACGGCCAGAATCGCTGTCCACACGTAGTTCCAGGCCTCACTGTATCCCACTAAAAGCGCCGCTTCATTGTTGATAATGGCAGTACACATTTCAATCAAAAAGACCACTTGACCATTGCCAATGGCCGTTAGTATGGATGTTGTTGGTTGAAACACGACCGAGAATGCCACGACACCCAATGCCAACATGCCCACGGCCGTCTTGCGGACCAAACATCGATGGAGACTTGTTTGTGGCAATTGGTAGGATGCCAGTGTGGCTTCGTCGCAGAGTCGTCCCAGTGTCCCGTGCAAAAGAGACCATGCCGTGGCGAATTTCGATACTTCGGTAGGATCCAGTGGACCAATCCCTCCTCCTCGAGGAATTGTCAAGGTCAAACTGGTAGAAGCAACATCCACATGATTCTTTTTTCTGTGGGAGCGCCGATAGGTCTTCTTCCGTTGTTGTTCTACTAGTAGTATTGGCAAAGCCTTGGAGGCTCGACGAACTGGCTCCCACGCCGATGCACTCTCCACGTGAAGAGTAGTCACCAGAATTACTACTAGGAGAAGAACGGATGGTAATCGTCCCATCGTCTCGTCGTCAAGGCATCGTGCTCTTACTCCTGTGTCCTTTAGTGTTGACAGACGTGTTGGGGTCTTTGGAGTGTTGGAGTGTGGAGTGTGGACGCTGCAGCTCACTGGATCCTTCTTGAAGCCAGCAGAGTGATCCATCACTGAGGCACCGAAGTACACGGCAGTCGAAATCGATCGAATGATCAATCGAAAGAATCGGATGATTGATCATTCGATTCGATTCAGTCAAATCTAAGACTTTGGCTCCAAACAGGATGCAAGCCAGACTACAGTGTAGCTATTTGGAGTGTGAAATGAGACCGCACCAAACGAAATGGCCAGAAATTGATGGAGTCGAGTCTACTGTTGCCTTTGGAATTCTTCCACTTTGGATTTTGCCAAAGAGCCACACCTTGTCCGAAGACTTCTACATGACATTTGGTGGTAGCACTTGACGACGAAGTTGTAAAATACTCCAAGTCACAACCAACCAGCTATAGCCATCAGGAGGTTGCAAAATAACCAAATTTCTTGTTTTTTGGGCCCACTTTTACAATAAAGTAAAACAGGCCAGCCTGTACGATACGGTATCACACTGTGGGCGGGCCGCCCAAGTTGTATCGAATATGAGTCCAGCACTGAGGCTTAGTTCTGGCTGCTGTACTACTTTGCAAATACCATACATGGAAACATCAAACCTGGAGCCATACATGTATTCTAGATTGGACATATATATTGTCCTTCCAGGGTCCCATGCTTCAGAAACTCTAGAGTTGCATCCCGCGAAGCCTACCGAAGTCCTGGCCATTCACCGGCTTCCGTAGATAACGCACGTCCCTACCGATATGCATACATGTACTTTGAAAACCCTCTGTTGCATGGTAGATTAGTTTGGTGTTCTAGCTAGGATAGCCTATAGAGACAGTGAAGCTAAAATGACATGATTTTAGATAAACGGAGCTGGCTCAAACCATTCATCTTTTCGTCTGCGAAACAGTTGACTGAGCGACGCGACTCTCACCGTTGAAACCGAAAATGGCTTAACGGTGAGAGATGCACCTTCAACTCTAGTGTTAAGAACATTCAAACGGTCACAAAGACATCCTCTTCCCCCAAACGCCAAAACGAGCATCCGCTCAACAGGTCATCATTGATACAACGACGTACTAGTATCATCACGTCCATTCCCACTTCCTGCCCATGCATATACCCTCCACCCAAGTAACCATCAACAGTTAGTTGATCATCATAATATAACAAAGCATCAACACGTCAAGAGGATTGCACACTGAGTGACTCGGCTCATGGCTCATTGATCGGTTGCATTGAGGAGAAATGGCGCACTCTACGTTGAAGAGCTGCTTGAAGCAACAGGGAGTATCATCACGTCCCAAACGGAATCTTCAGTGGACTCAGGAGCTGGTGGCTTCTTGGGTCTACCCGTCTCGTGGAGATGACATCTTGTGGATGGATCCCGAAGAGTTCTTTGACCTTAAGAAAGCCT